ATCTCCACACCTAATCACCGGTCTCCCCCTTTATCCTCCTACCCCCATGAGTTCCCTTCCATTTCAAGACCCCTATGCCACTGATGCTAGTGCCTGCTAGTGATAGAAAAAGTTCGTAACCTACTACTACAGAATCAGATTGCGTTCTATATTCATTTTTAATACCGGCATGGTTGTCTTCTCTTCAAAAGAATTCTTATTCCTGTATTTTAACCAATTTAAATTCTAATAATAATAATTCAAAATTTCTTCTATACCGGTCATATGTATGTAAATATATTTAAACTTTAATCATTCAGATTAGGCTTTATAGAATAACCGATCGGCAGAGTTATTCTGACGCCACCACACGGTTGTCACAATAGCAAATTTAAGCGTTGTAGGGTACAGTATGCTGTGACTTCATTGACTCACTGAATACGTGATTGGCTGATGTCGAAGACCAGCCATGCGGAAATTCTAAGCAGCTAGAATACGATGCGATAAGCCCGTACAAAGTAGGCCAAACATTGAAAAACTTTGCTATTCCAATGAACTGTAGCATTCCACTCGAAAAATTTAGGTGTATATAGAAGATCCTGACTAAGAAATGCTAAATAAAACTGAGAAACTGTTTTTAGTTTAGTTTAGTTTTTTTTTTTTTTTTTTTAGTTTTTATTTGGAATCAATTTTATTACAGAAGCACACATTCAAAATGATGGTGCATCCAAAAGACCAAAATCAACAGAAAATTGAAAAGAAGAAAACAACTTAACTACGAAAATCATTACGGAACTAAAGGTTCGGTCAAAAAAAAGAAAAAAGCCAAATGGGAACGTTCCATCAAACAAAAAAACGAAAACAAAAATACTATATTTTTCAAAATTTGTTTTAGCCAGGGTATGGACTGCATACCTTGCTTGCCTACAAACAAATAAAATATTTATTGACTGAATCCCTTTTGTTTAAAAAAAAATCATTACGGAACTAAAGGTTTGGTAAAAAAAAATTAGCCAAATGGGAACGTTCCGCCAAACAAAAACAAAAAAAAAACAAAAAACAAAAACAAAAAAAAAACAAAAAAAAAATACTACTATATTTTTTTTAATTTGTTTTAGTCAGGGTATGCACTGCATACCTTGCTTGCCTACAAACAAATAAAATATTTATTGACTGAATGTAAATAAAAAGAAAAACAATAATTCAGTGTTTTCACACGACAGAAAATGTAATAAATATAAACAGATATATCTTTTCTGATACCTTCCATTCAACCTGCCCCATTCATTTATCTTTCTCAGTCTCCAATCGTCCTCTTCTCCACCTTTTCATCTATCCATTATCACTATCATCCTCCTAAATATTCATTTTATTATCCTTTCTTCATCCTCCTCTAATTCACCAGTCCCTATTCTTATTATTATAAATAATATTTCATGTCAGAACACAAAATTCTAAACTACATTTATTTCTCATTTCAATATCTCCAGGTATCTTTATCAGCGGTATCTTCTTCGTAAACAATACCAGAGGCTTGCGGATGAGGGGTTAGCTCCCCTTGATGGAGTCAACATCCGCTTTGATGTTTATATATCGTACAGCCATGAGGATTTAGACTGGGTCTTACATGTGCTGCAACCAACGCTAGAAGGAGCCCTTCATAACTTCAAACTTTGTCTTGATTATAGAGACTTTATTGCTGGTGAAACAATTTTCAACAACATCATTGATTCTGTCAAGAGCAGTCATAAAACAGTGTTAATTGTCACCAAGTCGTTCATCGCCAATGAATGGTGTTTCTTCGAGGCGGAGATGGCAAGAACTAAAATGTTTGATGCAAATGAAGACAGTATTCTGATCATTCTGCTGGAGGATGTTGATGTGGCCCACATGCCCAATTTTCTACGTATGTTAATGCAAACAAAAACGTATCTCAAATGGCCAGAGGAGGAAGAAGAAGACAGAGCTAAGTTTTGGACAACACTTGCAGAGGTCCTGAGAACACCAAATGCGCATAAAGATTGGCTGATAAATAACTAAATTTACGAAAATAAAGATACACTCTGTGCTGGTAACATTGAATTCATCAATTCAAAATATTTGAGTAAGTGATTGGGATCTAAAGCGTTAAAATCTAACATATGTATGTTGAGATCTAAATGATACTGTATCAAACTTCCAACTCTTTTCAAAATTTGAAATTAAAATACACTTTTGGGTACAGTAAATCATTTTATCTTCCTAGTTCCAAAATTATTCAAAACAATAGGGGACACAATTTTTTTTTTTCAGATTTTGCGATTGTCATATATGCCCTTAATATTCACACGTGTTTCACAATAGAGTCGTGATAGATCACTAGTATCGCTTGGAGGCGGTAGTCATTGTGTTTAATAAGATTATACATAATGATTCCAGTTTGGTAGTTATAAATATCATTAAAGGACTATTTGTGGTTAAAACAAGCAGCAGAACCAGTATAACCAGACAAAGTAAAGGCACGAATTGCTTAGGGAGTCTCTGATGTTTTTGAACAGTGGCGTAGCCACGTGAAGTGCAGCAGTGCAAAGCACTACAGCCAGTGACGGTGCCAGCGGGGGGTGGGGTAGGGAGATTTCTCCAAGTGACGGCTTCAAAGGGGAACAAATCCTGCCTCAACCTAAATTTTTCAAGATTATAAAAAAAAAATGAAGGAAAAAAGAGAATATCAAGTAAATTAAGGTCTGATAGTGTCACTTCCAGCCACCTAGAGGTGCTCCTGAAAATAAGTTGGAGCTTATCCTCAGAGGAAATTGACGATCACAGTTAACCCCGCTACTAGCCACAACTCACGCCTACATACATACGGCAACGCTTCACTTTATTTCATTTCTTTAGGCATGAGCGCAAAGGATATACAAATCAGCATGGGCGTCGATCGATGGGGACGGGATACGGCCCCCCTCCCCACTTTCCAAAGTAGTGGGATATCATATCGATTGTTCCCCCCCCCCCACTTTTCACCAATCTTCTATAATTAAAACCCCACTTTTAAAAGCGAATGGAAAGATTAACAATTACGCATTACATTCATGAATTTTGTCTGTTCACTTATCCAAGTGCGGTACGTATTTTCTGGACCAAAACCGAGTAAACACGCAATTGTTTATACATTTCGTAACCATCTCCGAAACCTCTAGGTCAATATTTTTGGCCAGGGGCGGATCCAGAGATGTCCAAAAGGGAGCCGAAAGTTGGGCCGATCGAGACAACACTCTCGTTGGGGGTCCGGGGGCATGCCCCCGAGAAATATTTGTGTTCTAGACGCGCGAAAATAACATTTGAGGCATTCTGGGCTATCACTTTTTTCTTTTTCTTTCTTTTTTTCTTTTCTTTTTTTTTTCAAGTGGGGCCGAATAGACCTTAAATTTTTTTAATTTTTAAAAAATGGTATAAAACAAAGAAAAATTATAATTAGAATTTAGGTCTGACAGTGCCATTTCCGGAAATCTAGAGGTGTCATAATCATAAATTTTCTTTCCTCAGCCCCAGCCATTATGGGGTTGAGGTGATCTAGTTTCCCAAATTGTGCAGTTCCCTCCCTGTCCACACCCCCACCTCTATTTTGCTTTCCTGAAGCCACCACTGATAATGATAAATTCAATAAATCACCGTTATGTTTGTGGAATCAAAATGCTAACTAATGTTTTTTTGTGCTCCCTATTTCCCTAGTATTGTTTGATCGTAAATTAGACGGTATTATTTCCACTCACAATAGAGTAGTCGCAATATTATTTGCACAAAAGTGAAATTCAAAAAGAGAAGAAAAGTAAAACCTCTCTCTTGATTGATCTTAAAAGTACTGTACATGCAAAAAGATTAAATTAATGACTGTTTTAAGTTTATCTTATTTCTTTTTAATGGTTCAAATTTTGAATACGTCACAAGCTAATCAGTAGGTAATAAATCATCATTTTTATGAATGTTAGTTTGCACGAAATATATAAGCGGGCATAATTATGACTAAATGGTGAGTATTTCAGTGGAGATTAAAGGAGCCAGCCGACACACCATCCCAATTTTTTTTTTTTTGAAATTTAAAAATGGAGAAAAATAAAAATTATATTCAAATTTAGTCTGAGAGTTCCATTTTCGACCAACTAGGCCGGGCGCCATAATCATACATTTTCTTACCTCAGTAGGGCTGAGGTGGTCACACTTTCCATCTGTAAAAGTACCTCTTTGGGCCCAGCTCTGTTTCAAATTACTGGATCCGCCACTGGAGATTTTGAAAATTTTGTATGGAAATAAATGTTAATTGCATTGCTTAGAATCAATTAAAAGGCTATAGGTGCCAGAGCTTCAGGGGGTTTCGACCCTGGTCCCCTACCAAAGCTTGGGCCTATGGCCCAAGGCTTTATTATTCATTTCGTCTACCCCCCCCCCCCACTTTCAACCACGGATCGACACTCTTGCCAGTCAGTGAACTTAATCACTATCATCCTACGTGGCAATTTCAATCCATCAAAGAACAGTTGTAACTCCCTACTCCGCTCGAAGGATGTACTGTACTGGGTTTTTTAAATGCACACGAGCCGAATGCGTACTGCACTGGGGTCCTTATCCGGGAAGACTTATTTTTACCACCGGAACCATTGGCGAGTGAACCCGGCATCAACATAACTTAAAAAATCCAAACAATGTGTACAAATTTTTATTACGAATACGAATACGAGAAGCTTTATTCAATTTTTTATCATAAAAAATTAAAGTTTAACAATAGACTAAGAAAACACATATATATATTTACAATTTCATATACAATTTCTAAGCAAAATATGTACAAACCAGCGAATAGGAGTAACACAAATTTTTTTAAAGTTTAGAAAGAAAGCGTTACCAGAATATGCTCAGTCTACCAATTATTGAAAAGACCACGTTAATAATAGAACGTTTTGACCTTTCGCATCTAACTTTAGGAAGGTCTTAGGCTTTCTTCGAACGCACGTTGTACTTATTAACTGTTGCAGGCGTGAGCAAGTCGTTTAATTTTTGTTTCGGATTTTTGACTTTATTAAAATATTTTATATTGAGCATTTCACGTCTTTCTTCCAAAGATGATAAGGAAAGTGCAGCGCACGCTTCTTTATATGACATTGAAGGGCACATAATTCCGACAGCTCTCCGTTGAATATGTTTAAAAAGTTCTTAAGTTGTTTCAAAAAATAGAGGACACTTCAGATTTTCAGTTATTTGTATGCCTAACAGAGCTCAACGTTTCTATAACACTGCCATCATCCGTGAGAACAGGTATCACATCTAATTTCTTTCGTTTGTTGGAAATGACTATTTCTTTTGTTTTCTTGTTATTCAGGCGCATCTGATTTATCGCTGACCACTCGTTTATAATAGAAAATGAGTCTTTCATTTTGTCATTTCGGGCACCCGGATGGAGTTCTTCCATTACTGTCGTATCGTCCATATATTTAATCAGTTCTAAATCTGTGTCTAGGTCATTGATAAACGCGATAAACAAAATGGGACCGAGCCAGGATCCTATTACTAACTATGTGAAATGGAGATATATAGTAATATATATGCCAATTTATGCTCTATTTCCTGCTTCACATAGGCCATACGGTATCTATTACAGCCTTGAGATTATAGTCCTCTGTTTATCATTTAGGCCTATATCATTGATTCTGACCATTGATCCATAACATTGTTCTTACAGATTTTCTATAGTTCTCTTCACAGTTCAT